TGAGGGAAAAGCGGCTTTCGTCGGGCCATACCTCGGGACGGACCCAGGTGGTAGCGGCCCGGCAGGAGCAGAGCGGGCCTATAAATATTGTATATAAAGATGTCCTGTAGTATAGTCTTATTACAATAATAGTATAATTAGTTACTCCACACTGACACCACATTAGTAGTATCTACATGCACCCGTGCGAAGCCGGGGCGCATCGCTAGTACCTAATAAATAAAAACCACGAAATATCAGAATGTTGTTGACTCTAAACCCTGTATTATGAAACAAGGTTTTTTTTAACGAATAGTTGTTGTAATTTGTGTTATAGTCAGCAAATGCCTAACGTGCGTTAATAATTAAACTGACCTGATCGGTTAATACTAACTAAACGAAGTTCGCAAATATACAGTTACATGTAATTTATAGCAATGCAGAAATTATTAATAAAAGTAATAAATGTAATGTTTAGATTTACTACCATTATTATTAATTGCTCCCATTTTAAGAAGAAAATTATTTTTATACACATACGTAAATATTCGTATGTAGAAAAAGGGCAGACAGCCAAACTTTCAATGATCTCCGCATACTGTAAAGTTAAAAAATAACAGCTCAAAGAGGTCAAGTTATATTGGTCAGTGAAATACAACAAGACAATCAAAATGGTCTAAATTCCTAGATCGCCAAGCAATCTTAGTTACTTCTAATGCCAATAACAGCAATTAAGTATAAATCTACTATAATGTAATAGTAAGTACTTACCTATTCAACTAATTGCTACCTAGTCCGTTCGTGACAAGCAAACCAATTTCCCGGGTTAGGTACCTATTGTTGTCCTACGCAAATGATATTATTCCCGATGTTGATAATTCGAAGGTTAAAACACTTGTGTAACAGCCATAAACAGTATTATTAATTCCAAAATTAGTTTTTCTCTTTTCTGATATTACAATTAGTTATAAAATCATTTATATAGGGGCAAGAATTTCTTAGTTCATTCTTGTTAATTAGCTAATTCAGACAAATAAATGTAGTGCAGACTCAAGGATTAATAATAAAAACTTTTTCTGCTTACGTCTGCTTCTGCGTACATAACTGCATTAGAATTATTCTTCATATAAGTGAGTTAGTTATGCCACTATGTTTAGTCACGGATATCTGTGATTCCTATGCCTACGCTTAACAACAGTATTTGTTTGATATTTTTAATCAAGGTCTTTCTTTGAATGGGAAATGAAACAGGATTTCGGTAGGGTCACACGATATTGCACGAAGATGAAAACGTGACAAATTCACGGTACGATTGAGCCCACAGTAACACGATCTTTTGCTTTATTTAGTGCATATTTTCGCACATATTACTACAACAATTAGATAATCATTATAAGTGATGATAATATAATTTAATTATGAATATGTAAAAACAGCGTGAAAAATACATGTTAAGAGCGTCTTTTTGATCATCCCTTACTCCATTATGCAACTTTATAAAAACTGTCGCTTTTAAAGTTACCATAAATTTAAATAAGTTATTGTGGTGGCTTCCACATACGGTGAAACAGCGCCATCTAACGAAGACACATCGAACTACGGAGTAACTGCTAATACTGTATCGCGATATGAACAATTCTCTTCGCCGATTATTTCATTATTTACAACTTCCCAACATCAACCGTTGGGCCACGGCCCGCCAGGCATGATCACCTCGCCTGGTCGGTGGATCCTCCCTTTATGTAGTAGGGACATGACACCTGTTCCTCCATAGTGGTGAGTTTATTTCTGTTTCTTCGTATGTGGGAGTCGCCACATCACTCCCCTCCAAGACCTGTTTTATTTAATAGTGAACTAAATCAGCCGAGTTTATAGTTTTGTCTTGAGCCATGAAACGTTTTTTAAAATACCTGAGCTCTGACTACTCCTTGACATTACTTGTTTCTTTTTTAGATTGTGTGCCGGTAATTCCAGTTGCCGATACAATCTCCGGTTTCTTGAAAATATTTTTGTATTTTACAGAGTGATAAATTAGTCCTTACATAGCTTATGGCCGGAGTGGTACGTGCCTTCCTCTGTAAACTTGACACATAGCTTATAAGGATTGTTTGGATTTCATTCTATCGGCCAAAGCCCTCTGTTTAAAGGCAACATTCTATAATAATATGTACATATGAGTAATATATCGGCACTTACTGAGCTCACGTACAAAATGCTTCGGGACTCGCTCTGTAGCACAAAGTATTCTTTCATTCGTCGGTTTTTAGCACTATTGCTCTTTATCAATTTGCTGGATAATTGTTGATGCGTGAAAAATTGTTCATTGAACGATTCTGAACCGATCGTATGGTAACATATATTATTAAGTTCATGCAAAAATGTGTTTTAGTCTTTGCAATTGTGAAAACTATTTATTTGTATAGCTTGTCTAGCTAATAAACGTGGTCAACAATGTATTTACCTTATGTATAAAATATTTAATCAAACCGTCTGGTAAATAAGAAATGGCAAACGATAAAAAAATTTACGAGGCTTCAAAATGTGTCGAGCAAAGCTCACACAGACAATTCGAGTCAGTGCGTGCCTCTAGGGGTGAACAGCTCGGGTTTACGACGACTAAGCATTTGTCTAAGGGTAATTCATCTTATCTGGATCTCTTAAACAATCGATGTTTCATTGGCAGAACTATAATTTTCTCAACGAGTTTTTTAAAAAAACGTTAGGTAACTTAAATTAAAAACTTTATTGAGCTATAGACATTCTTTTGTTTTCCTTTGCAATATGTAACTTTTTTTTTGCCTACTTCTAAATACCGCGATTAGACACATAAAAACATACCGTAACGTATAACCTTTTAACTTAACAGAAAAGCAATTTTTTGCCTTTTACATTAGACATTAAGTTAAGTTAAGATTGTTATTGCTTAGAAAGCTTCAGAAATTTAAGTATAACCAAAAGATATCTAAATAGTAAATATGTTTAGTAACTATGAACTAATCATGTAAAATAGAATTCGACATATATATTATACGATACTAGAAATATCTGGCAAATAGATATTTATACATATTCACAATCGGATCATAGTGAAAGGAAGCTTAAATTTTATTGTCCACTGTTACATAAGCTCGCTGACCGCTCTAAACATAGTTTCTCGTTCCTTCTGTTCTGTCCATGTTCACTTTCTGACAGTAAATTAGTTATTGTTGGGTCTCTAGAAGTGAAAGGAAAGCGGCCGTATGTACAGAATTGTCACAATTTATTGTCTTTTCGGTCAGGTATCTCACGGCCACAAAATATGTAGTGTAAAATATGTATTCAACTCCGGTTACCTAATTTATACTTAGACACTTTCGTTCTCATTTTAAACCGTGGCCTGATCAACCTTCATGCCAGGATTGTCACGGTGTGGGCTTCTAATGTTATTTATTAGGGAATTATCAAACATCACGTGTTATTGAAGTGTAGTTTTGTAGAGCCTTCTTACTGATTCTTAAGCGATGAGTAATAGTTTCATAGCAAACATGTTTATCGTTTACAAACGATAAGTTTATTTTTATCTTATCTTATTTATAGAATAGAAAAATAATTTGATTGTTACTTTAGATAGTAATACTGTGTCCGTGTGTTGCGAAAACTAAATAGGTAGAGACAATTTTCAAGCTAAAGTGTTAAATTTCGTAATTTTGCCTATTGTTTCATCATCAGTGAGATTACACCTATCACAATAACTAATTAAGCAGTCAATAAAATGAAGCCGGCAATGTATTAGAAAACTAGAACAGTATTTAACTCCAAAATCGTGTTGTCTTTCCTTGCAACCCTGATCTTTTTTTGGCTAAGGTTATACAACTATTAAAAAAATAAGAATATTGAATTTTATGAATACAGGAGAATATTTTTATGGAATATAAATACATTTATTCACAAAACACATCACAGATAAAAAACGAACTTTATTCATAGCAATAGAATAATTGCTGAATTCTTTTTTTAATGCTCTGGCTGTTCCTGGCCAAATTATACACTTTACATTTATGTAACGTTGCACATAGTAAATTGCGAAGCGCAGAATCAATACCATCCTGTGAACATTCATCGAAGATTCGCGCTCCCCTCTACAGCGACGAAGCGGTATTCCTCATTAATTGTTTATCAGAATAATTGAATATTTTGACTATTTGCGGTTTACCCCGGCTAGTCACTAAGCTCTTCGTCGATTTTGAGATGAGATTGGTTTTCTATTTTTGTAATAGTATATATTCCCTATCTATCTATTATTGTGCCTATCAGTATTTTCTCGTTACGAAGGTTCAGGAAAAACAATATATATTATCTTAACCATTTGGCTAAAAACTTAAAAATACCAAAGTGCAAATCACGTTATAGAAACATGTAGAATAAGCGTTGAATATATGTTTATTGTTCAACAGCCACTTTTAAAAGATTTTTCATTTTTAAGCACGACCTCGAATGACTAAGGTTCAATTTAATGACTTTCATCAGGTTATAAAAACAATGAATTTTAGAAAACAACTGTGTACACATTGAAACAAGCGAATAGTAATAAAGTAAATAATTTTCTATCAATGCAAAGCCATTGAATACTATATATGTATATATATTCGTAGCGAGTCGTGTTGTTACCTACTGTTTGGCAAGTTCTTTTTGAATTTATAATAACTATTGTTTAGATTAGGTGTATTTAAGATGGGTTGTTAAGGGTAGAAGTGGGTAGAAGCTACCTCGAAGGAGGCGGGGGTGTAAGCGCGCGCCGGGAAAACAAAAACAATGTAGAGGATGGTATCAGTGCGAGGGGCGGCGGCGCGACGTAGCTCGGCGCCGGTCGCCGGTCGCCAGTGCACACTCGACGATCGACTCTGTCGCGCGTTTCCTCACATTAACCGCGCATCTGCATCGCGCAGGATACGCGATTCAAAAATCTCATTTGCTTCGCTACCCTAACGCTGTGAAGTACTGAAGAATTTTCGAAAAATAATAGGCGTGTTCGGAATTTCAAAATGCCGGTTGAAACAAAAATTAGCTTTTCTGGTGAGTTACTACTAGCCTAGACTTTTCAGTAACGCAACTGTCTTTGGCCAAATAATACATAAAAAAAGCGTGTAAACATAGAAAATTTATATACCCTTTTAAAACTTCCTGATCTAACCGCATTTTTATAGGTAGCCAAACTTCTCTACCAACTTATATTCATTGACTTCATTTGGTGGGTCAACTCATGTACCATCGTTATTGGCTGCAGTTCAATATGTCTGTCCATTCTCAGTTCTCGTTTGTAATTGACAGCCATTAAAGTGTGCTAATAGACAAATGCTAACTGCTTAGAAATTATAACATGATACTTAAATATACAAAAGCCTGTTTACAAGAAATCATTGTTTTCCTGCGTTCAATGTGGAGTACATTAAATGAATTTTGATGTAACCTTCAAGGAGTAGATGTGATCTAGATTCAGTTCAGAACCTGCCTTAAATAATCTGAGACGGAATAGTTTTATGAAGTGTTTTTCAAATAATGTAGGTACACAATACACTTCATAAAACAAAGTCCATTTCGTCTTAGATAATTACAGATGAACTGAGAATGTCTCCTTGATAATCATATTGGTAAGTAATTTGTTTCAAGTTTTCCTTCTCTTTGCAGTGCTGTTGTCCTGCTTAGTTTGCTCCCTTAGTCGGCTCTTACGACACCCACGGGATGAATTGGGGTGGTGACAATTTGTATTCTTAATCCGTCACCACACGGACAAACCCTATACCAACCCGTCTGGCCAGCGTGGTATAGTAGACCAAAACCTCCTTTCTAAGGAGAGGTCTATGTCCAGCAGTGGACTAGTATAGGCTGTTGATGAAGTAATTAAGCAAAGAAATTTGAAAAAGTAATATTTGGAACTAGATCTTAATTAGTATGTTGGAACACCGGTTCTCAAAATTGCGCGACACTGTTGGAAACGTAGTGGCAATCAGTATGGATCCATTGATGTTTATGCTTTAGATATCAACATCCAAACAAGTGGTTACATGCAAACCAGTTGCGGTTTTTGCATTTGAATATAAACAAACTCGTGATTCGTGACTATTGGCATGATCTCATGGATTATTGTCACGTTGTTATTCTGCTCCTTTCATGACGGAGAAGTATTCATAAATCATATTTTGAGATCACAAATTGTGCTAGAAACTAGATTTAATATAGCGATTTAAACGCTCGTTATTGCCATATTAAGCTCCCCTTAATTCTGAAGTCTCATATTGTTGAGAACTTTCTCGATTTCTCTCACATCCTTATAGAATTTTATAAAAGTTAATGTAATCTGATAACTTAATAGAACACTTTTACCTAGTCACATATATGTATATTACACTTAAAAACATGTCTTTTATTTGTTTTGTAATAATTCATTTAATAGTTAAACTAAATATATAAAAACATTGTACTGCATGGAATATTCTAGGTAAGTTTATGTTAAGGCGAAATTAGCACGTACTATTGCGTAACATTTTTGGATATAAGCTGTGAACTCTAAGAGGTGTGCCTCTAGGCCTGCCACCCCCTATTTGATTTATTCGCCCTTGCTGCCCGTGGCTATAAGTACCTCCAAATCAGGCTCGTAGCACTCGCATTAAGTAATTTTGGAATCATTTATTCAAATGTATATCTATTTGTAATACTTTTCAGTATATTAACTTTTCTTGAGCGTTTCTTACTATACTTATTAAAATGATGTGATTCCTTTTTACAACTCTATGCTGGTGGTCGACATTAATTTTGTAAGCGTTCTTTTATTATCACATGTTCACCATGACCGCTGATCCAATGCACTTATAGTCGTAGCTCATTAAAGGATTCACTATTGCAGGACTGTCGCACTTAACCTTGTTTGGCTTAACTAGTTGACATGCCATATCGTAAACCATAACTGCAACATAGCCTCGTCAAACTGTTACACAAATTACACCATAGACAATGAAAAATTCACCTATGATGTACAAAAATTAAACTTTGACATTGTCAAACACTATCTGCATTTTAAATCTCATTCCTCTAAAAAAAATATCAGTTGTCATGCTATCCTTTGTTAGACGAATTCAAAACGATACGTGTTACGTTCTATTGTATTTACGTGTCCAGTATCTATTTATTCTTTTACAGCCTTGTTGATAGCTGCGTAATAACTTGTGTTTCTTTATCATTTTCTATTCTACGTTGGCGTGAGACACATTATGTACACACCATAAAGCTAATTCTAAAAGGCGGCAATGCATAGGCCATGAAAACATCACACCCGTTGTACGATAAAAATCTTACTAAATATTCAAGGACATCTGTTTTGAAGGACAGATAGACATACAAATTACTGACAATATAATAGACTAGCTGACCCGCGCAACTTCGTCTGCGTCTCTCAATAGTAATAAATTTTCTCCGTTTTTGAAACATTCTTCATTGGTGCCCCGCTCCTATTGGTCTTAGCATGATGATATATAGCCTATAGCCTTCCTCGATAAATGGGCTATCTAACACTGAAAGATTTTTTCAAATCGGACCAGTAGTTCCTGAGATTAGCGCGTTCAAACAAACAAACAAACTCTTCAGCATTATTATATTAGTATAGATATGTAAAACAGGGACTCATTTTCATTGGAGATTTAATGTAAAAAGTATAATTATTATAGTAAGTTGTTTTTTTTATTGCTTCCTATGCATATAATACCTATAAGTATATATTATATCTATTTTCCTGATGGCTTAATATAACTTGGTGTGGTTGATCTTTCTTAAAGTCTTGTGTAAATTGTCACATTGGTCATCATGTTTCATGATGAATGCGATAGCATATTTTGGTATATGTGTTGTCAACATAAAGGTACAAGAAATACCTGCCATGACAACTTCCCGTCTCTTATCCTTATCGGAGATGTGCTCTCCGAGTTGAAATTGCTCAATTACATGAGTTAGCATTGTTGTCGGTCAACCGTTGCCAATTTGCGGAGCAGGTGCGACCTGCGCTCGTTTTACGTGACTTCCATCCACAACGAATAGACATGTTCGAGTGATCACGTTGGTTCTTGAATCTTCGAGGCTGTTGGTATTTTCCTTATATCTCACATGTCGTTAAATCCTGTAATGTATTGTTTTTGTCATCGCAATAAATCTGCCTTGCACAGGTGCCGCCACCTTGAACCACGGTTTCGATTTCGAATCGATAGCGATTCTTCTCGAGCGTATCAGACCGAACCAAACATGTCTTGGTAATCAATCGTAAATCGGCTTGTCTCATATTACATTTTTATTATCAAATTAAAATGTAAGTTAAATGGAAAATGTTCACGCGTCAGATGTTACACCGACGCTTAGCAAATGATTAGTACCCTTTTTTTTAACCCTCTTTACGAATAACGTAATACATATAGGGCTTACGCCCTCTATCTACACATTGCTAGAGTGGTTCCGCACTACGTCCGGTCAGAATCCGTGAAAATAATGAAATCTCGGGCTGAATTCGGATATTGCTTGCGCTACCTCCGATTTTCGATCCGTGATTACGGATTTAGAAGGCTGACTGATTGACTGAATTCGGATATTGTTTACGCGCTATTGCGATCTCTGATTCTAATCCAAGCAATCCTGGAGTCACCTTTTGGCATACGTCGTTTTACCCACAGCGTGCAAGTTTATCATGAGTCCTTTTGATCGGCGTCAACTTCTGGCAATGGTATTATACGTAGGAACGACACAGAAGTAAATAATTCTGGGTGCCTTCATACAAATAATAGTATGGCTACTTTGGTCCGTCAATAATCTGGTCCAGAATGGAGATTCACGGATAACGGAAAGTAATCGGATGACAGAAGTCGAACCTCGAATCTACTACTTCGCATCGTATTTTCATAGATTTGGATCGGATTCCGATCGCACGTAGTGCAAAACTGCTCTAACGTGAATAAAACAGGACGGACGTCCCGTTTTTACCATCATCATAGTTACTATTTAACACTGATCGTTCATCTTGTTTACATGTCTTGTATTGACGCATCCGATGTTTCAATTTCTTGAGTGTCATATTTTATGTAATTTATGTTTATTAATTTTAAATTACCTCAGACTCAGTGCGTCATTCACTTGACCAGTTTTTTGTTTACTGTTTACTGCGCGCGGCGGGTCACTTGATATGAATTAAACATAATTTAAAGCAGCCGAATTATTTAACAATATAATTTAAAGTATAAAGTCTACTTATTGCAAAATTTCAGCAAATGGTAATTGTAGTCATAGATCGTTTTATTATTTACTGCGCAAAAACAAATTGAACGTAAACTAAATTAAAATTTAGTTGAAGTTTTATGATTAATCAAGTAAGTTTGATAATAATAGTTTATAAATTTTTTAGGAATAAATACCGCTATTTTAAATGCTCTTTTGAGTGTCGTTTATCCAAAAACTTCGTATAGCTACTTTAGATTCAGGTGGGTCGCAAGCGCATAATAATGACGAAAATAAAAAAATAAAATCATTTTTATTGCGAATTGGAGATGGTTCCGAAGAATAAACTGTGAAATGTACGTTTGTACCCACAATCTTGACAGTTTACAAGATAATTTTAGACCATAGTTTCTGGAAAAGGGGAGGGGTGGTTCTTTTTAACTCAGTATTTGATAAACTTTATATTAAAGTTAACAAAACAGTATTTGAAACTAGACTAGTCTACCACTAACAAACTATTAATAACATTTTATTTTAAAAATTTATTATGTGTCCCAAATTTTAACATAATAAGTGATAGACGAACAGACAGACACACTAGTGGTCCTTAAGGCTTACGTTTTTTCATTCGTGTCAACAGAACCCTAATAAGACTTTTTTTTTTTATATAAACGTATACAATATACTTTTGTCAGATAAAATTAGTCTCATTCAACAACTTTTTTTATTTCTGTAATAATTCTGTACCATTCACAAGTAATTTAAAGCCACTTGCGCAAAAAATCTTTATTCAGTACAGTAATATGAGATCAACAAAGATTTGTAAT